GAAAATATAAGCGGGTCACGAAGCACATTTTAGGTACATAATTCGGGTATTTAAAAAGAGAGAGAGAGAAACGAAAAGCTTTAACGAAACCAAAGGAAAGGAGAGGACAGGATTTCCATTCTTTTTTCCGGATGCTGGACCGCCGTCTCGCCTTCTGTCTTGACCTTGGTTTCATTCCAGAAGACAGCCCCAGATTGGACCGATTCTGTCCATCTCCTCGCAGAGTACCCACACGGCCCCCGCCTCCTTTATCCTGCTGTCAACAGAGAGAGGTGGGGAATGAGAATTGACCGATATGATAAGAACTGGATTGGTGGACGGAGGCCCCAATTGTGAATCTGCTTGCAGAACAGAGATAGAGATATATTTAAGTACGGATTGACGTTGTGGGTGGCGAGAAATGCAAACTTCCTTCTCAACCACCCCCTGTCCCCATTCCACCCTCTGCTCCTGGAAAAAGAAAAACTCTACAACAAGCTCAAAAAAAAAATGGATCTCTGGCAACGTATGAAAGATAACTGACTATTTGAGTGTGTGCATGGGTGAATGTGTGCCAATTAACAGCCTGCCTTAAAAAAATAATAATTACAAGATAGATACACCACGATTCTCTTCTTCATTTCTGGAAGGAGCGTTGTCCTCAACAGGGGCCGGCACCATGAATCACGAGTGACTTGCAAAGGCGAAATAAAACGAGACAATGGTGGGGTCAAAAGAGGATGAGGGACGCTTTCGCGAGCCAAGCCTCCCAAACGTTTGAACCCAAAGGGCCGAAGAGGAGACGACGTCGAGAAAGCCCAGGGGGGCAAGAGAATCCCACCCTCGCCACCTCCCCAGTAAACGTGGGGTTTCTTTGTGTGTCTGTGCGTCCGTGTGTCTGTGTGTCTTCTTGTTTTTGATTTTTAATGGGACAATACCAAATTGATGCGGGTACAAATAGCACGGTCTGTGTGGAGGTCTTTTTTCCCCTGTTCACTTTACGTTGAAGGCAAAGTGTTGAATCCACGGTTAGGCGACTTCTGGAACGACGAGGAAGAGAAGAAGGAAAGCCACGCCATCGGATAATATTATTTGATTCGAAAGGAGGATGAACTTTGAAAAGAAAAGAGAGAAGAAACTTTAACCAGAAACCCACCCACCCACCCCCAAGATTATGCCCCGATCTATTGAGCGGGTGTGACCATCAGGGTGTCAAAAGGGGAGAGATGATTGAACCAACCCAAACAGACGACGGAAGGAGGGGAAAGTAGCAAATGCTGAGCTGTGTTTTGCCAAAGGAAAAAGAGAGGGTGCGAAAGGGAAGGGAAGCAAATATATATATATATTTCTCTCTCCGCCCAGTGTCCACCCGCCTCTCCAAGCGCCCCCAATTCCCCCCCCCCATCCTGTCTTGTCTTTGTCATGACGTGTCGACGCTAACGGACGATGGAGGGCGAAGACAGTAGATTTCCGTACCTGATTTTGTGGAGTATTTAAAGGGCTGAGAAGCCACGCCAGAAAATAAAAGAAGAAAGGTAATAAACGGGGGGCCTGACCTTGGCTAAAAAATAAATAAAGAGAGCACCCCAAGGACAAGGAAGCTGTCAACGAGCGACTGGCCCCACAGCGTGAAAAAAAAAAAAGACGTTTGTAGTGAGACCCAAAAAAATATAGGCTACCTCACTTGAGTTTTCGTGATTTGAGAATCACACCTGATACCAAAGATTTGTTCCCCTTGCCTGGTTTGTGGTGGAATCTAAACACACACCCCCAAACACCCCCAACCTTCCCTATCCTCGTTCCCATGCTACCGCCATAACCATCCCTAGATGGTTATGTCACCCACCATGACCCATAGATGTTGTAGCCAACCTTCTTCCTTCCCAAGACCCCCATATCTTGCTCTTTCCATTGCTCCCCCCAGAGAGAAAGACAGACAGACAGAGACAAAGAGAGAGAAGAGAGAGAGAGAGAGAGAGAGAACATGATCTTTAGAGTGATAGATGAGTGCCTTTTCTTGTACCAAAGGTGGTAGACCACGTTTCTTTGTCCTATAAACTCACACAGTAACTTACCTCAGTTCTCTTAATCGGATGGATCCCGGCTACTCTCGTTTGCTTTTGGGTGATGGGGCAGAAGCCCAGTCTACCCCTTGCTCCCTCCTTGTCCCTCCCTTCTCGCCCAACCACCAAAGAGACTTATTCTTCCTCCCCAACTTGAGTGCCTGCGAATGCGCACAAGAACCAAAATGTGCTTAATGGGCTCTTAACGTTCATGGATATTAATGTTCTGGAACTTTGTCTGTACCAATGAATCGGGTGAGAAGAGACTCTATAGCTCAGTGGCAGAGAACATGATCAGCTTGTAGGTCCGGTCCCAAACATCTCTGATTTGAAGCGTATCTCACACAGCTAGTGAGGAGGAAATCATCTCTCTGTCACGTTCTGTGGGACCCTGGAGAGCCTCGTGGGGTCTCTCACCTGCCAATCGCCTGGTTCAAGGTGCTTTGAAGCTCCAAAGTTTGGGTCTTCAAAGCACCTTGGAAGTTGGCGAATGAGCAGGAGCTGAAACCTGTTCGCTGTTGCCAGTGTGCAATTGTTGTCCAGGGCTCTCCAGATGTTCTTATGAATAACAGAGAGAGAAAGAGAGACAGAACAGATGTTCCCTGTATATCCTGCCCATGTGTTTCCTGAAGGAATCTTGATTGGTTACCAAGAGAACAGGTGGCTGGACCTGATGGGAATTTGGCTTCACCCAGCAGGTCTCGTTTGAGGTTCTCCAGAACCTGTCTCCACCTGAGAAGGAAATTGACGTTTTTTCTCGCATTATCATCACCTTCCGTGGGTTGTAGGTGCCAGACCCCCCAGAACACAAGCGACTGACCCACCTTCTCTCCCAAGACCCCTCTTTCCCAAGCTAAATCACACCCCCTCCATCTTTTGACCCAACACCCAAATAGCCTTGTTGATACCAAAGAAATTCTCCGCTCAGGAGGAAAAAATAAGAACCCTTTGCATAAACCCAGCCAATCAACCCAACCCACCGCCTCTCTCTCCACCACAAACCTGGCAAGACTTTTGACAATGTTCTCTGAAATACCTCAAAAATAAAATAAAATAAATATTTAATGTATAGTTTATGTGACAAAAAAAATAATAATGATGATAATAATAATAATTACTTAGCTAGTTTTTGGAATTTGCAACTTGAAGCTTTATACTGTTAAATTATAATTTTTTTGCAGAGGGCGGCATGTTGTAATTATGTTAAGATCCTCATTGGGAGACGTATTGAATGTTAAGAAAAGGAAAAGGGAAAACTGGTTCGTTTCATGATTTTTTAAAGAGGGAGAGAGACGAAGAGAGGGAAACGAAGGTTCCTTGGCGTTTACAGATTTCATATTTAAACGAGTCCTTTAAAAGAAAAAAAAATCACAAATAATACTAATACCTGTTGCTTTCGGGGATGTTATTCTTTTCTTCTCCTCTCCTGCTGAGTCATGTCTTACGAGAGTATTTATTATACGTGTTTATGTGTTAAATTGTAATTTAAGAAGAAGAAGAAGAAGAAAAAGACCAAAAAAAAAAAAGAGAGATGAAATGGAAATTTGATTTATGCATGGAAAAAAAATATACTCTTTCTTGAAGTAACGTAATAATTATTGAGGGGGTGGGAGGGTGGGCGGGGCGGGTGGGGGAGGAGGGAATTGATGTGTTGTTTGTCTGACAAAAGATTTCATTTCGACTTGACGAAAGGTCTGTGCATGGGCCGGATCCGTTTCATGTGACCGTTGACCCTCTTCCTTTTCCCCCTCCTTTCTCGTTTCTCCCGCCATCTCTTCTTCTTCCGTGTTGTCTGTCTGCGCATTGTCCAACGACAATGAGGACGGTGCTTATCCAAGGTGAGGGGAAAAGGCTGGAGCTCCTCGTGTGTAGGAGACCCCTGGCAGGGCTGGGGATCTCCCCCCACGTCCGAAATCCAGGAAAGCAGCGCTCAGCTAGATGGAACCAATGGCCCAACTCTGTACAAGGCAGCTTCCTAGGTCCCTGTTGAAATCCAGCTTTTCATTCGAGATCATGAGGACCAGAATCCTTATGCAATCTTCAACTTAGTGGTGGAACACAAGCTTCGCATGTAGAAGCCCCCCTGGTTTGATCCAGGTACAGCTGGGGATAGACACCATTTCTGAAACCCTGGAGGTCCTCTGACAGTCGGTGTCAGCGCTACTGGGCTAGCTGGACCAACTGGCCCCAACAGCTTGGGAGCAGAGTGAGGGCAAGAGGGCTGGAGCTGGCTACAACGAAGGAATGGTGCCTCAGCCAACGCCAACCCAACACGGTCCCTGCCTTTCCAGCAAGCAAACAGCTCCTCCACCCTGCTCTGCCCGTGCCCCTTTTAGCATCCAATCACAAGTGTCTTTATAAAGAGAAAGAGACAATCATCTGCCCAAAATAGCAAGTAAAGTTCCACTGAACCCGTAATCGCATTGATACCGGTTGCTGGAAATGGCAGGGAGCGAGGGTTGCTGTTGAGCTGAGGTCCCAATTGCGAGCTTCCCGTTGGGACATCTGGTTGGCTTCTGTGACCACATGGGCCTCCTTGATCCAGCAGAGCTCAACTCATCCTCTAAGGAACAGAATGAGAGACGAATTCTTCCCTTCATGCCCTGTGAGAACAGGACGCTGGACTTGATGGGTCTTTGGCCTGATCTTCCGGGGCGCTTCCAATATCAAGTTTTTAGGATAGACCTCTCCCACTGTGAATTTTGGGTCAAGGGGAACCACGCACCATGGACGTGCTTGTCCTCTGACCATGGCGCATTGGGCTCTTGGACCAAAATCAAGCTCAGATCAGGGCAGAAATATCTCCAGGAATCGATGCTTCTAGGTCCTCTTTCTATAGTTTGGAAAGTTGCAACCAGGAAAAGAGGGTGTCCGTAAAGTTTTTGTTGTTCTAAAGGATGAGTGTCCGCACCTCTTCCATCTCTGTCTTACAGGTCTCTGAGGCCTTCCAATTCGACGGGACCTGTAGCACAGTGGAAGGTCATCTGCTTTCCATGCAGAAGGTCACAGGTTCAATCCCTGTTATCTTCAGCTACAGCTGGCAAAGAATCATCTCCAAAACCCTGGATAGTCAGTCAGTGTAGACTGGTGATGACAAAGACCTGAAGTCCTCCAGATGTTGTTGAGTCAGGTCCCAGCAGCTCCCCAGAGTTTGGGAGAGGATTTCTCCCCTCTGGGGATGATGGGAGCTGTCATTCAGTAACATCTGCAAGGCTGCAAGTTTCTTGTCAACCAGGGTTCTTCAGCCTCAGGTCCCTAGCTGTTGTTGGGACATCATCCCCAGGCTGTTTAGCCAATGGTCAAGGATGATGGGAGTTGTGGAGTCATCTAGAGACCCAAGGTGGAAGAACACACTGGTATGGACAGTGCTGACCTAGATGGACCAATGGTCTGATGTGACATAGAACACCTTCTGCATTTCCATGCTCCGATGTTTAAAGGACCCACCACCAGAAATATGAAATCCAGGAGGGTCATAAGAAGTTCTAAAAAAATTAATGGTGGTCTTAAACAAAGAGAATTTGAATGTAATTGAGAGGGTGCTTAATGCTTGCCAGAAAAGTGGTCCATGTGCAAGTTCAGAATGAAAACAAACCCATCAATCTGCAAGCCAGCTGTTAGTCTGTCTCCAGACAGGGTTAGTATCCAGACAGGGTTATATCCAATTCACGTACGCTCAGAGCAGACCCACTAAAATTAATGGACCTGACCAAGTCACACCCATTAATTTCAATAGGTCTTCTCTGGGTAGGGCAAACACTGACTGCAGCCCTATGGGCTGTAGCCAACATTAGTCATACTCAAAGTATCCCAGGTATTTATGTCTGTAATAAGCGCTAGGAGCCAAATTATTTCTTAATTTCTGTCCTCGGATGATGACCACATTTAGATTGGCCCTTGTACAATAGGGCTGCCCGGTCACAGACCACCCCAAATTGGCTTTCAGCCTTGAGACAAAGAGGCCCTCTTCTGAGCCATCTCGTTGACCTCATAAGCCCAAAGGGTCACGAGATAACATAGGTTGCTCCACACGTGAGCAATAAGTGCTCCAAGAACCCAGCCAAGTTTTTTAAAGTTTACCGTGAATAATGTGGGAACAGGAGTGTCTCTGACTAAGCCGTGCTCAGAATGAACCAGTCAAGTTTATGGCCAGCTAAGTTCTCTGTGCAGGGCAAACCCATTGAAATTAATGGGGCTGAGTTACTTGCGTCCATTACTTTCAATGGGGCTGCTCTGAATGGGACCATTAAAGGACATGACATATGTGAGGCCATTGATTTCAGTTGGTCTGGATAGATTTTAGTTTGAGCGCACAGGGGGTTAGATCCATTTTCCCCAAAGCCTGGTCAACTTCTAGAAGTTCTGACTTTGGCCTTTTATCCCTGAGGTGAAGCAGACTTGTAAGACCCGACACCAAAACCAACATCCTTTTGTCTCTCCTCCTTTCTGCCATCCTGCCTATCAACACTTGCTCCATCATTCACTCAGTTCTCAAATCATTTCAGGAACAATCTTTCCAGGATACCAAAGATCTTCATTCCCTTCCTTCCTTCCTTATAGAGGTATCGACAATCCAAACTTGTCCTAAAGACAATTCTCTCTACCACAAGAAGGGTGGTGGTGGGGGTTCCTCAGGTATAAATTTTGGGAACTGTGAGGAGGAAGAGGGAATCGTTTCCCCCCTTTTTTTTATTAGAAATGGTTTTGTCCACAGCCATCAAGGAGAGCAGGATGGAATATACCACCATCTGACAGGAGGCAGCAGTATATCAATGGTTTAGAAGACAGACTTTCAAGGCAATAACAGACTTCCATCCTTTCTTTCATTACTTTTGTTGTTGTTAATGAAAAGCTAATACAGTATGTTTCCCCATACCTATCCAACCTTGTCTCCCCTAATGATTGCATTATGACATTGCAGACTATCAATTAACGGTAGGTGGGATATTTTGTGCATGTGCTCTGAACCAATGCTGGTTTCACCGGGCACAGCCAATGTGGACAGGGATACGTTTGTTCACGGTTCTTCACCAGGGCCTTTTGGAATTGGCTGGACGTGTGTTTTGATCCAGAGCATCCTGTTCTGATGTGGCGGGAGAGCCTTTGGAGTGGGGTGAGGCAGCACCACAGACAGCTCCCAGTGAGAAACGTGCCCCTAGCCAGCACCATGGAGAGCTCCCAGTTAGGAGTGTTCTCCTAGTCAGAACCATGGATAGCTCTGAGCGAGCAAGTTGCTCCAAGGCAGCTCAAAGTGGGCATCCAAGCAGCACCATGGAGAGCTCCCAGTGAGGCGTGTGCTCCAGGTCAGCACTATGGACAGCTCTCGGTGGCAAATGTCAGAGGTAGACTAAGGCCTTTGAACATCTGCCTCCAGTCCACCTCACCTGGCCTTCATCCCTCTTGAGAATTCCAGTCTTTTAAGGCCCCCGTCTCCCACTGGCCTGCAAACAGGCCCTTCTTCTGTCCTCCTCCTATCCCTGAACCATTGGGCCAGCTAGTTAGCTTGGGAGGCAGAGGGAAAGGTTTTTGGACCTTGGTGCTGTGGGTTCTAGTTAAGCTCCTTCCTGAAACCCCAGAGAGCCTCTGGCAGTCAGGGTAGACAGCACTGAACTAGAGGGACCAAGGAGCTGAGCTGGTATAGGCAGCTTCCTATAGTAGCCTGAGACAGCAACCCACCTGTAGAATGAATGCGTAAGTGGACTCTATCAAGCAAGCATTGCATTTGAGGGAAGGTGAAGGCTCTGCCTCTGATCTTTGACCCAGATTGGCTTCTCCACCCCTGCAAAATTGCTCCTTCTGTGAAGCGTTCGTCAGGTGTCCACAGGTAGTTCAGACTCCATAAGTGTCTCACATGCAACTCCTAGGAGTGCAATGATTTTTATACCATTATCAAAGCAATATTTTGGATGCAAATCTGGTCTACACACACCACGAGAAACTGCAAGACAGGTAAAAATAAAAGAAGCCAAGTTCCTCAGGAGTTGTGACCATTTCCACACGCCTTGCTACCTGAGATCCACAGGTTAGGTGATGGAGTCTCCTCCAGATATTACTGGCCTGCAAAAGTGTTGGTCAACCTCGGGTTCCCGAATCTTGCTGGACTACAAATCCAGTCAACTCTGAGTTGGCGGAGGGTGATGGGAGTTGTAGTCCAACCAGCACCCGGGATTCTCTGAAATTTTTATTAGACTTAAAAAGACGAACAAACCAAAGAGATGAGGAAACAGGCAGAGGAGAAGAAAGCAGATGGAGGAAAGCTCTCCTCTCTCTCTCTCTCTCTCTCTCTCTCTCTCTCATAACCCTATAACTTCTGGCTATCGAATGATGCTGAATGTTAGAAGGTTCAGGAGAGAGAAAATAAAGGACTTACTCACACAGAACCTAGAGTTCACTCTTACAGGAGGGCGTGATGGCAACAACCTTGGATGGTTCTGAAAGAGGATGGGGTAAATTCCTGGAGAAAAAGGCTGTCAATGGCAACTAGCTGTTTCCACTGTTAAAGTAAAGGTAAAGGGACCCCTGACCATTAGGTCCAGTCGTGGCTGACTCTGGGGTTGCGGCGCTCATCTCGCTTTATTGGCCGAGGGAGCCGGCGTACAGCTTCCGGGTCATGTGGCCAGCAGGACTAAGCCGCTTCTGGCGAAACCAGAGCAGGGCACGGAAACGCCGTTTACCTTCCCGCCGGAGCGGGACCTATTGATCTACTTGCACCTTGACATGCTTTCAAACTGCTAGGTTGGCAGGAGCAGGGACCGAGCAACGGGAGCTCACCCCGTCATTGCGGGGATTCGAACCGCCGACCTTCTGATCAGCAAGTCCTAGGCTCTGTGGTTTAACCCACAGCGCCACCCGCATCCCGTTTCCACTGTTGGGGGGCAGTAAAAGCCTCTGAATACCAGTTGCTTGAAATTACGTGTGGGGAGGTTGAGTTCAGGTCCTGTTTGTGAGCATCACGAAAGACGCATCTGATGAGCTGCTGTGAGAACAGGCATGATAGGTCTTTGGAGATACCCAAACAAACCCCGTGTTGCAAATTATGAGTCAGCCATATCAAAAGCAACACGAAGGCCAGAAACAATAACAATGTGAAAAACTTTATTTGTTGTTGTTTAGTCGTTTAGTGGTGTCCGCCTCTTTGTGACCCCCTGGACCAGAGCACGCCAGGCCCTCCTGTCTTCCACTGCCTCCCGCAGTTTGGTCAAACTCATGCTGGTCGCTTTGAGAACACTGTCCCACCATCTCGTCCTCTGTCGTCCCCTTCTCCTTGCGCCCTCCATCTTTCCCAGCATCAGGGTCTTTTCCAGGGAGTCTTCTCTTCTCCTGAGGTGGCCAAAGTCTTGGAGCCTCAGCTTCAGGATCTGTCCTTCCAGTGAGCACTCAGGGCTGATTTCCTTCCGAATGGAGAGGTTGGATCTTCTTGCAGTCCATGGGACTCTCAAGAGTCTCCTCCAGCACCAGAATTCAAAAGCATCCATTCTTCGGCGATCAGCCTTCTTTATGGTCCAGCTCTCACTTCCATACAGTTCCATATAATTCAAAACATCAGAACTAACAAACCAAAGTCTCTGGAAGTCCTTAAATGAATCACGGTTCCAGACTTTACCCGGCAGAGAGCAAGCTGTGAAGCTTTGTATGATCAGCAAATGTCCAATTTTGATGTCCAGCTCTGAATTTTTCTGAACAGTGTTTCCGGATAACAACTCCTGTTTCGTTGAATTCTTCATCAGCCAATTAGTTCAACACTTGTAAGTAGAAAGGTATGTAATTTTTTCATTAACTGAAAATAAAATATTCAAACGATGACCTGCACATAACAACAGCTTCAAATAGCGTAGAAATTATAAACTGTAACAGAATTGGACATTTGCTGATCATACAAAGCTTCACAGCTTGCTCTCTGCCGGGTAAAGTCTGGAACCGTGATTCATTTAAGGACTTTCAGAGACTTCAGTTTGTTAGTTTTGATGTTTTGAATTGTTCCAGAAAGTTTTTCACATTGTTATTGTTTTTGGCCATTGTGTTGCTTTTGA